ATAATTTATAGAAGACTTTTTTTATATTCAAATTCTTATCTTTAGAATAATAAATATTTTTTTACTAAAAAAAGGTCTTATCTGGTCACATGTGATGAAAAATCTCTTTCGCGTAAGCTTTAGATCTACTACAAAGTAATATATTATTCTAAAAATATATATTATATAAAAATACATCAATAATCATATATATTGGTAGGAACCTTTAAAAAATTATAAAAATAATTTTAATATTTATGAAATATATATAAATATTAATAATTTAATATAAAATAATAACATATCAATTCACTATGAAAACTCATATATCAAAAAATTAATGATAATTCTTATACAGTAAATAAAATCATATATCAATCATATACAATATATCTCGATAATATATATAACACTCAAATAACAAAAGCATACATTACACCCGATAATATACTCTCCCAACAATAGAGGAAAAGACAAACTCTATGGGATGGATTCATCCCAATAACAAACGGAGAGAACCTATAACACACTCCAATAATAGATGGAGTAGTATCTTTCACCGGTCCAAATAGAGATACGTTTCTCTCAACAACCGATGGATAAACTATCTAACTATTATGTCTAATGGCCCACTAATCTTTGAATAGAATTACCCTACTTGTTAGTAGTAGAAATACATAAATAACCATGAACATTTATTTATATTTATTCATGCATCCATCCAGATAAAAATATTATGAGGGATTATGCTTGATGTATGATCTGCTAGACTATATCAATTGGTGGCTCCACATTATGATAGGCTAGTAGCTCCTTTCATATATTACATTTTCAATGTGGACCATAAGCATATATATATATATATATATATATATATATATATATATATATATATATATATATATATATATATATATGATAATAATCACATTAATTTCATAAACTTAATTTAAAAAGTAGAAAAAAAAACTAATAATTATTTCCAAATGACACATTCAGATAAAATTGTTAGCTTCATCAAATCTCAAAAATATGAGATATAATAGGCTGAATAGAGAAGCGATAATGTGTCTAATACCAATCATAGAATTGGATGAGCATAGTTTCACGAGTTAGATTGAATCTCACTCACAACTTGGGTTGAGCTTTACCATTGAATTGGGCCACACTTGCTTCAGATTGGGTTGTACCTAGTTATGTGGATTACACTACACCAAACCACATGGGGTGGGTCATGCTTGACTATATGAGTTGGGTTGTACTTAGCTACATATGTTGTATTGTACCTAATAACATAAGTTATATCATATTTGTCCACGTGGGTTGAGTTGTGTCTGGTCACATGAGCTGAACTATACTTTAACCATTAGGCAAAGTCATACTTGGTCATATAAGTTGAGCAGTACCTAGTCTCGTAGGTTCTAACCACATAGATATGATCACACTTAATCACATAAATTGAATTATACATAACCACATTAGTTGGATCATATATAACAATATGGGTTGGGTTATACCTAATCACATATGTTGGGTCATACCTAACCACATGAGCTAATGTAGTTAATCAATTTAACTTAAGTCATACCTCAAATTAAATTTTAATATTGTTAATTATTAAAGATTAACTTAAATTTTATGAATTAAATAATTTAAATTCATGATCTTAAATTTAAAATTAATTAAATCATAAAAATTCACACATAATTCTTAAAATATAAATATATCTAATTAAATGAATCAAAACTACTATGTTAATCTAAAAATAAAAATTTTAATAATTAAATCAATCTTATAATTTATTTAAGCCTAAGAGACCATTATAAGTCAAGTTAACATCAATGATCAATTATCATTATTTATTAATCATAAAAATTTAAAATTAAAATATTATTATGCATCATAAAATTCTAATAATTCTAATGTCAAAAATTTCAAAACATGAATGTAAAAAAAAAAGAAAAAAAAATCTTATCTCTCCTCGAGTAATCCTCCTTTATACGAGAGAAGAATAACTATCCTCAAAATGTAAACAATTTTTATTTTTATTTTACTTTTAACGTAAAGATATAATTGAAATATTTATTTGTGATGGTTCGTACACAAAAATAGAATTTATACTATTTACTTTTTAAAAATCACATCACTCATTTTTAAATAAATTAATTAATAATTTAATTGATTGATAAAATTATTAACTTGTTCACATAATTAAAAAAATTAATTTTAACCATTTCCTTAACCATACTACATAAATAGGAAGTTAATAATTTAAATAAAATATACATTATTTATGATAATTAATTTATATCAAGGGAGAACAATTATCAATAATTATAGATATATTCGGTGTATATAAATATCAGGCAAAATATCATGTGCAGTGGTTGAGGTTTATGTATTTAAGGTTGATGTCAAACGAAACTTTGTCATGTAGTCATACATAGCAAATGAAAAGATAAAATTATATATATATATATATATATATATATATATATGTATATTTGTGTTGTTTGCATCATCACGTTTAATATTTTACACATAAAATATTAACACTAAGTTTATAAATTACATAAAATGCTCATATAATCTAATGTTAATGGTATATTAGATGTATTTCTCACGGATTGAACGCTCCAAGTCTTATTAAATAAAGACTCATATATTCATCACTTATTGCTGTAGAAAAAAAAACACCCATTTGCACATTATGTTTTTCTTTCTATCCGTGAAATTTATATCATCGTGCTTACCAATTTACACTTAAAAACATCAACACCGAATTTATATTATACATAAGATTCTTGTCTAACATCAATAATATATTAGAATTACTTGATCTAAAGTTAAATGATGTATTAAAGATTTACAATCTCATCGAATATATTTATTTTTAAAATTCTTAGATCAACTCATATATTTAAAAAAGAAAATAAAAACCTAATTTACACGTTATGTTTTTATTTTTTATATCAAAATATATTTTTGAATCATTATAATAGAAACATAAGAAAACTAACGCAGAAATAAAATTACGTACCTTCGACCATTGTTGTAAGTGACGATTTCTTCTTGGATTTTGATATTTCTCAATTTAGAACTCTCACTTTAAATTATATAAGAAATTCTTTAGATTTGAAAGAGATGTTGAACTAAAGGACCAAAATCCTCGTTTATATAGATATTTTCTAATAAAAAATATTTATTATTATCAATTCAAAACGTTCAAAAATTAATTCAAATTTATAACGTTGAATCATAACCAAAAATTTTAATGATATTAAATAAAAATATTTAATAATAATAGTTTTTTTATTTATAATAAATAAAAAATTAAAATATTTAAACTATAATAAATAAAGAAATTTATCATAATGAATTATGAATCAACGATTATGCTTAACAATTTAGAAATACATTAATTGATGCACAAAGCCAGGAAAGTGAGAGTGAAGTGCACGTGGAAATCCAAAGAAAAAGCAGTAGCAGTATCAGCAGCAATTGCAGACGAGCAAGAGGAGAGGATAAGCAAGCAGGGAGAAGACAAAGAGGATCGGATGCCCACCGACGGAGGCTTCAGCTTTTGCTTGCTCTGGTTGCCGCCATCTGCTCCTCGGGAATATAACACCCCTTTTGTCCTCAGATTTCGCGGGAAATATCACGTCGGTCCGTCGTCCCCGTCACCTCCCTCGTTTCCCGGAATCCTGATCGTAGTGGGATGGGAAGAAAGGAAGAGAAAGCGAGGTGTGAGGGTGTGCGTGATGGGAGCGCTCGGAAGACCATGCCTGCCTTGTTCGGTGATGAGCACTTGATGATGTGCTATTTCTCTCCATCTTTTGTCGTTTGTATTACGAAGAATAATTAGTGGATCAGAACTCAGATTCGATTCGATTTAATATTTAATTTTCGTACAATTCAATTCATATACAACAAGAATTAATACTGATTTCATGATTTGATTAGGTCTAATCACGAGTCAAATATCTTTAAAAATTATATTAAGTTTCTTATATTTATTAAAGAAAAATATTTAACTCTATTTTTCCTCGTATCAATTAATCAAAATATCGTAGTAATAATAAATCGAAGTAAGACAAAGTTAACATGTGCTTATTGTAAACCTTACGAAATTATTGTCAATGGAATCAACGATTCAAAACATACTTCGATTAAAGATATAATTTTTTAAAGAATGAAAATTTGAATGTTGAGCTAAAAAATTAAAAATTGATTAACATGCTAAGAATTAATTGGTGTGTCGAAAACTTGACCAACAAAGTCAAACTATCAATTTTTCGTATCGAACGATCAATTAATATATCAAAATATTGGTTGATCGAGTCGATCAGATCCCTTTTGGATTGGTGGCTATATATCAAGATCGAATCCAATATATATTATATATAAAAGCTTACGTGTTCTTTAATTACCTTCGATTGCGTGCGTGATCATACTTAGAAAAGAAAACAAAAAGGCATTTGATCAATCACAAGATTGGTTGATTGATTGTAGGGAACAGCTCACGACCACCGTCTGATCGCGCAGAGTGCCGTCACTCGTTCCTCAACCTATCCGAGAGAGAAGACGCGAGTGGCGGCAAAGTGCCACCACCGGTGCAAGCGTTCCAATCGCACGCCGGAAAACGGGCAGCGCGCACGAATCCACACGCCCCACGGTAACGTCTCCCTCTCTCGTCTCCACTCCAAAAGGCGTTCTCCGTCCTATCTGCGGTGGCGTGGCGGCCGCGGCTCCACCACCTTCACCTGCCATCGAGAAGATTCGGCTTGTTATGATTAACACCGCAGTGGACGATGATGAAGTCACAGTTATCCATCATAATCATGTGAACTATGATGCGATTAGAGTCTTTACACCAGTGTTAATTAGGGTTTCTCCGGCCCGGAAAAGGTCGGGGAGGGAGGTGGTGGGGCACGTGCTCACATGGGCCCAAGTATTCCACATGCCCGCTGCGTCCAAATACGCCCACTAATCATTACCACCCACTCGATTGAGCTGAGCGCTGTTAAGACGCTCCCTTCTTCCTCCCAGTTAGTGAGTCCAGCTGAAGGCGCCTTTCAATCTTTTCACGCGCAGGAGTCGGCTCTTCTCGTTGCAGTGTGCAGGGCAGAGCTCGGCAAAGGTCAGTGTGCAGGCGCTTCCATTGAGGATTCCCAGTGACTAGCTTGCTCGGAGAAGGAACAAAGGACCCCAGCAGCAGAGCAAAAAGAAAGGTAGAATTCAATTTATCTCCACCTTCCGCTCTTCTTCCTTTTTCTTTCTGTTTACAGTCTGCTCGCCTTTATGATTCGCCCAACTCCATTTTGCTGTCACGGGAAGTGAATTCACGCTTCGTTCGCATCTCTTCCAACTTCTATAGACAACGTTCAGATAGATGCATGTCTTTTGCACGGGCTGATTGATCGCCACAGTCTGTATGGATTAGCCAGAAAAGATGTGTTCCTTGGTGGCAGATCTTTCTGACGAAGGAGACCAGATTGGCAACACTTAGTGCCAGATTTGGGTCAAGGGGTTCCTTCTTTGCTTATTGGATTTTCCATTGTTATTTTGGTTGCCGGATTCCACTCGTGCATGCATGTCGCACTCGCCATTATGTATCGATTTCCCACGGTGATGTGTCGCGATGTTCCTATTTCTCCAGATCTGATACCCGATCGTTCGTATCCGATCGCCGCCAGCGAAGATGTTGCCGCAGAAGCAAGCAGAGGAAGCCATCGTGATGTGCAGCAGTACTACCGCAAAGGACGAGCTGGAGCAGGACGTGGTCGGCAAGGAGGACGAGGAGGTGGCCCGCGGGTTCAGCATGAAGAGCTTCCTCTGGCACGGCGGCTCCGTCTGGGACGCCTGGTTCAGCTGCGCCTCCAACCAGGTACTGCCGTCTCTTCTTTTCGATCGGAACCGAAGATCTTGGTGATTACTGGTCCGTTCTCTTCTAATCGCGTTCTCGTCGACGTCGCAGGTGGCCCAGGTTCTGCTGACGCTGCCCTACTCGTTCTCGCAGATGGGAATGCTGTCGGGGGTGATCCTGCAGTTGTTCTACGGGATAATGGGTAGCTGGACGGCGTATCTCATCAGCGTCCTCTACGTCGAGTACCGCACTCGCAAGGAGAAGGAGAACGTGAGCTTCAGGAATCACGTTATCCAGGTTCCTTCCTCTTCCTCTATCTTTTCTGCTCCTTCCCATGATCTTTAGGCTTGGCTACTTTTCCCCATTAAAAGCTACTACTTCTCCCCACACGAACGCACTCCTCGACCCTTGTTACTTCTGCGCCTTTGACTAATGGTTATTAGCGTTGAGATGACGGAAGTGCCCTACTTCTTCCTCCTCCACCCATGTGCAGTGGTTCGAGGTGCTGGATGGGCTGTTGGGGCCGTACTGGAAGGCTGCCGGCCTCGCCTTCAACTGCACCTTCCTGCTCTTCGGCTCCGTCATTCAGCTCATAGCCTGTGCCAGGTATCTTTTTTCCCTCTGTTTCGGTTCGAGACGCATCGCTCGATCAACCACGCATGCAAGCTTTACTTGCTTGATGTTGGTGATGGAGCAGCAACATATACTACATCAACGATCGGCTGGACAAGAGGACGTGGACGTACATATTCGGCGCCTGCTGCGCCACGACGGTGTTCATACCCTCCTTCCACAACTACAGGATATGGTCCTTCCTCGGCCTGGGCATGACCACCTACACCGCTTGGTACCTCACCATTGCCGCTGCCGTCCACGGGCAGGTAACGTCATCCACAACGAGAACAGTAGCGTAGGATCAGATGAACTCTAGCTATGGATCTGATTGGTGGGTGATTTGATTGCCCACTTAATTAAGATCGAACAAGGAATGATGACAATGATGCTCTTTTCCGGATGGATCATGCAGGTGGAAGGGGTGACGCACTCGGGTCCGACAAAGCTAGTGCTTTACTTCACCGGCGCCACCAACATACTCTACACCTTCGGGGGCCACGCCGTCACCGTGTAAGTGCCATCATCTCGGACACTCAAAGCTCACTGACATGTACCAACACTAAGTGGGTAGCCGGAAGCGTAGTTAAGCCTGCGTAAACATGGAAGTGCTCTCCCGACGCGTTAGTTAAATCCCACTTCCCAACTTTTCACCCGACCGCCTTCTTTTCTTTCCTTTTGAGTCTGAAGCAGAGGTTTCCCATCTCGCCTTTTCTAAGCATCGCCCCTCCCAGCGACAGCTTTTGCAGGGTGGTGGGGGTGAACGGGGAGGACACGGGAATCATTCCCCCTTCTTTCCTGTCCCCACTTCCTCTCTTCGTTTCTCCCGAATGGAGTAGTCCTGGACCAACTTCCGTTGCTTTACCAAGCGTGACTAGGTTTTTGGTACGGCAATGCGATCTCCCAGCGTCGAAGTGGTCACCAGCTGGAGAGATCACTAGTTAAGATGATGAATGCGACCACTGATGGCTTAGCCTTCTTGTTTAAGAAGCAGATTAGTTAACTATAAGAATCTTTTAGTGGTAAAGCGGCGGCTATGATGGGAGGCATTAAACGAGGTGCTGTTGCTTTCTTATACGAAAGCATCGAGTGAGAGAAGGGATTGTGATTAGAGGAACATGGGAACTTGGTGGTCGAGTATGCTGTGTTTCTCCCATCATTGCTCGACCAAGAATTAAAGCCATTTCGATGAGATTTATGTCTTCAGTCAAACCAAGCTTCAAAAGATTCTTCTGAACATGGCTGAAGAGTCCACAGGTTGGCCTTCTGGACTGCAGTAAATTGCCGCTGGAAATTGTTCTAAGGATGTTCACTGTACCAGCCATGTTCTTATATTGCAGTAAGTTGCTCATGGTTTCATTACGACATTTGTGTGCAGGGAGATCATGCACGCGATGTGGAAACCGCAGAAGTTCAAGTACATCTATCTGCTGGCCACGCTTTACGTGTTCACCCTGACGATGCCGTCGGCGGCCGCCACCTACTGGGCCTTCGGCGACCAGCTTCTGACGCACTCCAACGCCTTCTCGCTGTTGCCCAAGTCGAGGTGGAGGGACGCCGCCGTCATCCTGATGCTGATCCACCAGTTCATCACCTTCGGCTTCGCCTGCACCCCGCTGTACTTCGTGTGGGAGAAGGTGATCGGAATGCATGACACCAAGAGCATCTGCCTGCGCTCCCTTGCCCGGCTTCCCGTCGTCATCCCCATCTGGTTCCTGGCCATCATCTTCCCCTTCTTTGGCCCCATCAACTCCGCGGTGGGCGCTCTCCTCGTCAGCTTCACCGTCTACATCATCCCCGCCTTGGCACACATGGTCACCTACCAGAAACCATCTGCACGGCAGGTACTGCTTGGTTTCCTCTCCTCTCTCTTTACTTCCGGTCTGATCAAAGAACAGCTGTGCTCATCGCTTCACTGTCCCTTGCAGAATGCTGCGGAGAAGCTGCCCTTCTTCTTGCCGAGCTGGACGGCGATGTACATGGTGAACGCCTTCGTAGTGGTGTGGGTGCTGGTGGTGGGCTTCGGGATCGGCGGATGGGCCAGTATGACCACCTTTATCAAGCAAGTCGACACATTCGGCCTGTTCGCCAAGTGCTACCAGTGCCCCAACCCGCACCCTTCCCCTGCTCCCGGGCCGCCGCAGCATCTCCACTGACCCATCAACAGCAGCAGCGGAGAGTTGCTTAGGACTCTTGTGTTCCAGGGCGGTTCCTCCGCTCGTGGTTCTGCGGCATCTTTTCCTAGTTGGCTATTTACCATGTTACTCGAGCTTGGGAGCGTATGCTACTGTCAGCCAGCAGTACTCGTGATGATGTTATTACTGAAGGTGTTTGTCTTTATGACCCAGAGATTAACCATGAGCAAGCCTCGCTTCTGAATCTAAACACTTTGATAGACTTCTTTCGATATAATAATAATAATAATAATAATAATAATAATAATAATAGTGAAATGAAGGAGTAATGAGGGATGCATATGTCATTTAACTAAACAAAAGAAAGGAATAAAGAGGAGCAACTTGAGAGACCTATACACGTGGGAAAAGGACATTCAAAAAATACAAGCCAATTCGCATCGTGCACCGTTTCCTGTTCAGGTATCTCGTCGGGTCCTCTTCTCTCCACGAAGAGACCGACAGCAATGAGCGGTAGGAAGCAGGCGGCGGAGGTGTGGCGTCCATTCCCGGCCTCCATGATGCCTCCAGGTGGTTCCCTTCTCGTCGGGCCGCACTCGCGTCCGTGTCCAACGGCGGCATTTCTTCGCCCGTCAGGGAGAGGGAGAAGGAGGACGGGAGTCGGAGGGAGGCGTTCCCGTCGCCGGAGCAGCTGATTGAGGCATCCTCTCGCCATTGTTGTTGGGGACCTCCTACAGTTTACCAAATCGAACAGGACGACTCAATTACACCTTTCTTTTAATTCTGTTCTATTTCTATTGAACTCGCAAAATTATTATTTGGTTGGAGCTATGACAATATGCCTGATGTCCCACAATTCTTGCAGACTCATGGGTTGCGGGTGGTAGAAGTGACTGGAAAGAAAGCTATTGGTTTCGTTGATGTAAGCACCTCTGTTATTGCTCCTAAATAGGATTGCATTTGAGTCCTACCCTAATTCTCTTCCTATTATCTTTCATGTTTAACTGTCTTGGTGAAGCAAATGGAGAGAGACATCTCCAGCAGCTACTTAAAGTACTAAAAGAATAATTTTCAGAAATTTGAATTGCCTAAGATCCATAGAATTTATCATTGGATCATTTGTGATAACTAAAAAGATGATTATAAAAATCTTGATGGCAGCAAGCCATGATTGTGGGAACAAGTGAAATGAGGGGAAATTGAAACGCAATTGCTGGCTTTAGTCGAATAGTTGTACATAACTATTGGGTCGAGAGAAGTGGCTGAACTACTAGTTTGGTTTCCAAAATGGTTGACAGGACTGTCAGATATTTAAGAACTTCAAGACGATTAGTTTAGATAGACATCAAGGAACAACAAAAAAAGAAAAGGGGGGAGGGTAGAGGATCATCTTTTAGTAGTGACAGCCAACAGTGTGGCAGTGGAACAGTGCGGAGCTAAACAGTAAACAGGACACGACTTACCTCCATGTAAACCAAATCAAGCTTGATTCTGTCAACCTTGATTAGGTGCTAAATTTGACATACATCTGGTAACCTGACTGGCAAATTTGATATTATGATTCCAGCAATTAGATATAGAAGATGGTTAAGGCAAGGTAAGTTTCTCCAGAATGAAGAATTAGATCTAGCGGACTTGTAAAATTTCTAATTTACAAACCTAAAAAAATGAATAAAGGGCTATCATGGTGGTTTTGATGTAGGTGTAACCCTTGTGGAACTTATCTATAATTATCATGTCTCATAAGAATTTTAAAAGAAAATGCAAAACATGGTCTGCTAGGATATTGTTTTTGTTTTAGATGATTTTATGATTAAGCAGGTGAAATTGCGAATTGTAGATTATCAGAGCTTAGGGTTGACGTCCAATTGACAGGCAAATTGAAGTAGACAATTCAGATTATAAATGCTCAGAGAGGAGTGAAAGACATAAGCAGTCTTGGTCAGAAGCAATAGAAAATGTATATGATGGCATTAGATTGTCCGGTGATGTCAGCCTTGATAAAGCTAAATATTAGAAAAGGATTCATGTAGCTATCCTGAATAGTTGGGGTGTGAGCTTCTTGTTACTGTTAGTGTTTGCAGCAGTTGATTTTCCTTTTTTTGATTTCTCTTTCACTGGTTTTATTGGTTTAGGAAGATGCTTCCACTATGTTTGACATAAAATAACATCGTTTTCTAATTCTTCTTTTCTATGATTTGTTTTGGATTCATAAAAGATGAGTTTCTCAGGAACATAGGACAGTTGCTTCTAGTTGTGTTTGATCTTAATGTTTATTTCTTTCAGGCTATAACATTAATAGGGAAGGAGGATGGAATTAAAGGCTATTGGAAAAGAAATCTACCCCAGGTGCCTTGCTTTGCTACCAGATCAAAAGTTTATCCTTATAGTTCTCTAGATTCAAAATAATTCTTGAACTCTTCCAGGTGATCCGAATAATTCCATATAGTGCTGTTCAACTCTTTTCTTATGAAGTTTGCAAGGTAAGGAAATTTGTTTCCAATGTTAACACAGTTTTGCATGACTATGTTTTTTCTTACTGTGTTATACATTTAGCTGGAGTTCTCAATATTTGACAAGCCATGTACTTTTCAATTTGGTTCTAGAAACTCCTTAGGAGGAATGACGGGGAACTTTCCGTTGTGGGGAGGCTTGTTGCAGGGGTTTGTGCTGGGATGACGTCCACACTAGTGAGTTTTTACAAACAATCAATTCATGTGCTTGTTTGCTTGTATGTTTCTTTCCTAGTGGCTGTGTGTGATCAAGTTCCACGATTGATATGATTGGATCAACTATCCTCTTGCCATTAGGCACATAAGGGTTTAAGTAATATTGATTTGTTGTGAACTTCTAGTACTTTTTAAATAGGTAACTTATCCATTAGATGTCCTAAGGCTAAGAGGCTTGAAGTTGAACCTGGCTGTAGAACCATGTCCCAGGTTATATTTATTCTTTTTGATGTTTGTTGTTATATATATATATATATATATATATATATATATATATAT